CTGGAGTGCAGTGTTATGTGATCTCAGCTCACTGCAACCCCCACCTCCCAAGCTCAGGCAATTCTACTGCCTCAGCCTCCTGAGTAGCTGGGATTACAGGTGCTCACCACCACCCCCAGCTCATTTTTGTATTTTTAGTAGACACAGGGTTTCACCCTGTTGGCCAAGCTGATCTCGAACTCCTGGTCTCAAGTGATCCACCCACTTCTGCCTCCTAAAGTTCTGGGATTACAGGTGTGAGCCACTGTGCCTGGTAGAGGCCTATTTTAGTTAGCATCTGCTGTTTTCTCAGTTTTACTTTAAATTTATTTTTTTTATTTTTTAAAAATTGTTTTTAACTGCCTCATCTCAGAAATTTTTATTGTTTGAGGGGAGATCAATTATCCATAATTTTTTTTTCTTTTTTCTTTTTTTTTAATATCCAATGTGATAGTAGTTATCCATAATTCTCTAGGCTGGAGCAGGGGTTTTCAACCAACAACAGCAGCCTCACCTATAATCTTGTCAGAAGTATGAATTGTCGGTCTCCACCCTAGACCTGCTAAATCAGAAACTGTAGGTGTTAGGCCTAGCAGTCTGTTTTAACCAGGTGATCCTGAGGCAGGCTAGTTTGAAAACTGCTGGGCTAGAGAAAGTCTTCTGAGGAGGTGATACATTCCTCACTTATTTAAGGATTTGACTCAGAGAAGCCATTTAATTAAAAGGATCTGCTGGGGCAAGGGAAGGGGGAAAAACTCATATGAATTTAATTGCCTGGTCCTTCCAAGAATCAGAAAGCACAAATATTCAGCTTGCTCATGGAGTCCAGAATTTTGAGACTAGTGGTAACTTCTTTTGCCAGTCCCTAATGGTGTCACATTAGAGGGTGTGGGACAGTGTGATTAACTCCTTCTAAGTGTTTAAGGTCTTTTGCAATAGGCATGGCCACTTAAGCCATATGTTTTTAATGAAGCTGCAATTCCAGTATGCTCACTACCCAGACATTATTGTATTCTCGATCACTAATTCACTGAGCATATAATGAGCACTTACTCGTTTGTGAGACACAAGATGAGTAAGACATGGTCCCTGTGTTCAAGGAATGTATCATTCAGTCATATTATGAAACACTTCAGAACACGAAGCTTTCGTGTGTTCACAGATGTGTGCTTTTCTAAACATGTCCAAGCTGCTACCCACAGATCTGATGTAAACCTGGCCTAATAGACCTCAGCTACTTTTTAGCATTATTTGGAGCTTAATTCTTTTACCCTCCCTGTCCCCATTTTTTTTCCATTTTGATATACTCTTTTTTTTTTTTTTTTTTTAACCCAGGCTGGAGTGCAATGGTGCGATCTCGGCTCACCGCAACCTCCGCCTCCTGGGTTCAGGCAATTCTCCTGCCCAAGCCTCCTGAGTCGCTGGGATTACA